TATGTATTTATTTATATGTAGGTGTGTGTGGGTGTATTTTTCTACTGATATATTGATATATTGAAATATATATGTATATGTATTATATAAATATATTTATATATATATAAGTTTATATATATATGTGTGTGTGTGTGTGTGTGTGCGTCTGTTTGTGTGTGTGTGCGATTGTGTGTGAATCACATGAGATATTTTGGCACCTCCAGTTAGTTTCATCAGGTAGCATTGTGAATCCAACCTCTCATTTGACCAATTCGATGTCGATATTTGCAAAAGTTTCACATCTACATGAAAGGTCCTCACAGTTTCATCTCAAGATAGCAGCACTTAACATATCAAGCAGGCACGCATGTGTCCTTCTCGTCGTTACGAATACAACCTTCCTATACACAGTGGTATCTCCAACCTCGAGTTAGTTTCATCAGGTACTAATGTGAATCCATCCTCTCTTATACACAGTGGTATCTTCAACGTACTGGAACTACCCGCGACTGCTGTGTGTGCGGGACTGTCTCACCACGGTCTGCCTGTGGGTGTGCAGTTGATTGCAGCCAACGGCAACGATCACCTGACAATAGCCGTCGCGTGTGCACTGGAAGATGCCGGTGTCTCTAAGTGGGAACCACCACGTGTGTCAACCAAGGGCGAGTAAATAAGCTCTGGCAAAACAGGTATACCTCGGCCAGCCAAGGGGAAAAAAATATGGGTTTGTGACTCATCATAAGGACTTCAGTGGCTATCACCACCTTACTATCACAACGAATCCGATGTTTTGTCGGCGGCTGTTGAGGTTAACAATTGTTCAAGTAGTGTTGGCGATTATGGAGCTGTTCTCGCCAAACACTTCAACACTGGGTGGACAGAGAAGCTCAGTCGCAATAAGGGATGGGAACTGCGGATGAGACTGCGTATCATGTGACGAGTAATTGATCGCAGAGAACGAAATAGATAAGCGCTGAAGTGATCTGCGAAGAGTGACATTTGTTCGTTTGGAACCAATGGTGTGTATGAATGTACCACATTGTCCCTCAAATGATTACGGAATGTCTGGTGGGCAAATCAGCTGCTCCACCGATGTAGTGAGCATACACTAGATGTCACGTGGACACGAGCACCTAATTCTATAGATATGCTAGAATGGATTAAGATACGATAGCCTCGTGTGAACGGATGGCTATGAAGATTAGGAATTGCAAAAAGATATATCTATTTAGTATATGAATTACTTGACTAAGGCTGGTTCTTTGCTGAGCCGAATTAAATGGGCATCAGGGTTGAAGCGGAAGCAATCGGTTTTTCTTAGCTTCCATCTCGTACTTGATTGTGTGAGTGCAACATCAGGATGGTTAATCAATACTAGGAGAAACCAAATGATTCGATATATCAGGCGCTCCGCAAACAGGCGTGCACATTTTATCTCCGACAAATGCAAATTCGGCGAAGCAGTCGTGGAATCAAAATAACTGGCCAGTGGAATGACTGGTTGGGGTTAATGAAGGCAGGCCGTTGCAATTTTATTAGATACCGCTTCATACGTAGTAATCGGTAGATTTGTAAGGATGCAACCCATATTTACCCTTCTAATGAAACACTTAATTTCATATACAACAATACCCGAAACCTATCCCATATGCTTGAAAATTGTACCTACAGCCCGACGTGAGTATATAGACATAGGAATGTATTTCGATACAGAGACAGCAATACGCAGCGATGATTGTAAACATTCAAATTGTGTTTCCAAAATCCTTTCAGATTTGTCCTGTTACTCCTGTACTAACAATTTGAATGCATTTTCATCAAGAGCAGCCCATGTGTGATGTGACTTGTAAATACAAACTATTGTCGCGACTATACAGACAGACTCCTAGAGTCATAGAAACTATTTACAATATTATTATTTTTTATAAAAGAGCGTGGACAGCTAAAAAATGTATTTTGTTTTTGTTTTTAAAAGAAAAAGGGGGTACATACTGTAAAAGTCATTACATTCAAATTATTTTCACACGCCTATCAAATTATCAGAGTAAATTATTTTTTTGCATCCGATGCAACACATCATAGTTATGACGTGACCGTGCCGGCGGGCCCTGCCCTGGGCCTGTGGCCTGCAATCCTGGAGACAGTCATACACTCAAGAATGAAGTATGTCGTGCCACTAGCTATCCACTACCTGCCTCACCACCTCTATACCAGTCAATAGCCTATCTAGAAAATTTATTGAATTAGTAGACTAAAAATATTTTAGTTTGTTGTACAGCTTCTCTATGGTAGAGTGCAAAGAGGGCTAGCTTGCAGCTCTCCCGAGGGTGGGGTACCCCTCTCTAGGTATACAGGCTTTGCACTCCACCACTCTACTCCGGATCGTGGAGGGTCATAAGGGGAGACCCTCCCGTGACTTGACTACTCCGACTCTCATATCAGTGTGACAATATTACAACTCAGACAGACCTCCTAGCCAGAGCTACCCCGTCATTATTAACAACAACAAAATTAAGAGGAAAAATTGCCGTAATTTTCGTAAGAAACACGTATTAAGGTCTATTACTGATTTTTAAATTAAGATATACGTAAGGAAATCAAATTTCGGAATTAGGAATTTAAGAAGTATGTAGCACTTAGTCGGACTTTAAGAAATACTTTTATTTCTTAATTAAGAAAACAGAAATATGGCCGAATATGTTCTTAATAAGAAATAAGCAGATCACG